ATGTGGCCAGGATTTATGTCTTTGTACCTGTACCTCTGATAGAGCGCTCAAAAGGTAACAGTGCATTGGAGGTCATTTGGATTGCAATTGTTGTTGCAGTTCTGGTGTGTTTGATCATTGGAATTGTTAAGTACCTGCTTCACAAAAAATCCAGAAGTACAACTTTTGAACCAGTTTAATGTCCTCGCTGGAGGAATAAGCAGGCAGCATGCAGTTAATTGGGCTAATTATTCAAACACTTTCTCAAAGATTTAAGTGGTATGGGGAGTGGGTGGATTGGTGAAGTTGACGCAGAGGAACAGCCGTGATTGTATTCAATGGCAGAGCAGAACTGAGGGGCCGAATAATTTATTCCTATTGCTTACCTTCCTAAAACAAAAGAAAGTGTGTTTCAAAAGTACTTTAGTGGCTCCAAAAGGTGGAGAAAGACATTTAAGAAATGCAAGTCTTTCTTTCTTTCCCCACAAATACTCTGCTGTTACCGCCAATTTCCCCCAGAACTGCCAAGAACAATCCAGTACGTAATTTCTTAGTTGTGACTACTTATTGTCTCTTCCACCTTGCAACCGTGGAAGGGGGTCCACACTCTGGAGGAGAGCCAGAAAGTGGTTGGCAGAAAATGGTTGCAGCTCATTAGGACACTACAAGATATCGACATTAATGAAGTTCCAAACGCAAACAGCAATCTCGGAAGACAGATGAACCTGAGCAGATGTAACGACTAATCTTCATACAAGCCCTACATTATCGTAATTAGAATTAAATGAAGAGCATCTGGCATGTCATTTACTACACCATTTTGTTTTTGAAACGTGTCTACATTTCCAGGCTTGGACAGAATATCGATCATACTCCGTTATTTATGAGATACTAATGCTCCTTTCTTCATTCTCTCTCTTGAAGATGCCAATTCTTATAAATCCACATTCACCTGCAGACCCTCATTTGTCCTCCTGGCTTTATGCATGAGCCAAAACAAAATGTACGAGAAAGTAACTCAACCACTGGGGCCATCGCACACTGAACAAATACAACCGCACTTGTTAAATTTATTCTTCTACGAGATGTAGGCATCACCAGCAAGGCCAGCGTTTGTTACCTATTCCTAACCGAGTCTCTCAATAGACCATTTCAGAAAACAGTTAAGAATCAACTATGTTGTTGTGATGAGGAGATGCTGGTTTTGGACTGGAGTGGACAAGGTCAGAAATCTCACACCTCCAGGTTATAGTCCAACTGGCTTATGCTGGTGTTTTCAAATAAACCTGGTGTCGTGTGATTTCTCACATTGCTGTGGGTCTGGAGTCAAAAGTAGGGCAAATCAGGTAAGGTTCCAGATTTCCTTAAAGGGCATCAGTGAACCAGATAGACTTTTGCAACAATGATAACTGTCATGGCAACCATTAATCAGATTAGTTTACAATTCCAGACTTATCCATTGGATTTAAATTCCATCAGCTGCTGTGGTGAGATCTGAACCAGTGTTCCCAGAGCTGGAGCCAAAGCCTCTGGATTATCAACTTCAGCACCGTCTCACGAAGCATGCAACAAAGCTCCCTCATAGAGGGAGTGGTATGGTCCCTGTCACGAGTAATGACTGGAGAATGTTTCCTTCATTAGCCCAGAGGTGGTGATCCAAACAAATCATGCATTCAGCTAACTCAGGCTGAGATCATTTTTCTTTTAATTCATTCATGAGATGTGGGCATTGCTGGCTAAGTTGATATTTATTGCCCATTCTGAATTATCCAGGGTGCAGTTACGAATCAACCACATTGCTATGGGTCTGGAGTCATACGTAGGCCAGACCAGGTAAGGACGGCAGATCTCTTTCTCCAAATTTATTGAACCAGATATTTTGTCATGACAATTGTATGGTCACCATTAAACTGGATGTCAATTTCAGGTTTTTAATTAATTCAAATTTCATGATTTGCTCTGGTGGTATTTGAACTCATGGCCCCAGAACATGAAGCTGGGGTTCTGAATTACTAGTCCAGTGACATTACCACTACACAGCCATTTCCCACAGCAGACATGAGAACGCAAACCCAATCAGCTCATCTACTCATTGCCTGAATAAACTAGGCCCTTAAACAGGTCTCTGATGTTTAGTACATCATTACAAAGAAATAATAATGTACATTACTGAACAATCAATAAATCCTCAGTAACCCTGGTGGGTCAAGGACACCAAGGGTCATTTCTCAAGGGATGGGGGAGGCAGGATCATATATCAGGTTGTAATGAGACAGGAGGTAGAAAGAACCTTCAATTAGATGTCAGAAAGAGCAGCTGATGGGTTTTGGTGGGCAGTGTTACAGAGGTAGAAATTGGCAGTTTTAGTAACAGATAGGATCATCTATAACTAAAACCATGACTCTTAAAACCAAATTAATATTCCGATGACCACTTGTGCAGACTGGTGACCTTCTGGTTTGTGAGCTCAGCTACGCACTGTCTTCACACAGACAGCACCAGTTCACAGAATATCAATGGCATTTGAGTGCACTGTTCTGGAGGTCTCAGTAAAACATTGCTGCCAGCATTAGCTCAGCTGGTATTACTCTCACCTTTGCATTAGAAGTTTGTGGGTTCATAGAGTCAGAGGCTTGGGGACAAGACATAGGGGACATTTCAGTCTAAGAGAATGTTGGAGAAAAGACCTTGTCTATTCATCCTATCCATGCTGCTCATGATTTTATAAGCCTCTATAAGGTCACCCCTCAGCCTTCATTGCTCCAGGGATAATAGCCCAGCCTATTCAGCCTCTCCCTAAAGCTCAAACACTTCAAACCTGGCTACATTCTTGTGAATCTTTTCTGAGCCCTTTTGAGTTTTGAAACATCTTTCCTATAGCAGGGACTCCAGAATTGAATGCATTATTCCAAAAGTGGCCTAACCAATGTCCTGTACAGCCACAACAAGACCACCCAACTCCTAAAGTCAATGCACGATGAATAAAGCCAAGCATACCAAATGAGATAGTAAGAACTGCCGATGCTGGAGTCAGAGATAACAGTGTGGAGCTGGAGGAGCACAGGTGTCTGAAGAAGGGTACTGACCCGAAACATCAACTTTTCTGCTTTTCTGATGCTGCCTGGTCTGCTGTGCTCCTCCAGCTCCACACTGTGTTATGTCTAAGTATACCAAATGTCTTTGTCATTATCCTGCCTACTTGTGACTCTGCTGTCAAGGAAAACAAAAAAACCCTAATATTAAAACATATGGATAAAACCCTGAGACAACAAGGTGCAGGGCTGGATGAACACAGCAGGCCAAGCAGCATCACAGGAGCAGAGAGGCTTGACCCTGGATTTTTAGGCAGAGCCTTGAACTTTCAAAACTTTTATAGAAAAAGGGATAGTTAGACTGAGTCTGTGGGAAATATACAACACAACCAGCAGGCTTGAGAATGGGAGATAGCTGTCTGGGACTCTTTTTCAGCCTGGAATCCCAATTTACACCTCCTCTCTGAAAGAACAATTGACCAAAACCAACAGACCCTAGCCCAAGGCAACTTTTACACCTCCGGCTACACAGTGCAGATGCTATCAGGCCTACAGAGATACTTGACATTTAAACTTGACCTAAACCCATTCACACATACTCTAACCATCGGAGAGCCAATTACGCTCAGAAGAGAACGTCAACAGCACAATGACAAGAACAGATTTACTGCGGAGATAATGGGGCCTACAGTCAGTATAACTGGCAGCCCCGATCTCACCTGAGGAGAAATCCGAACAAAGAGCTTCTGAATGTGGGATTGTCCCAAGCGAGGACACCAACGGCAAGAACCTCAATGGCAGACCCCGACCATCTGAACCAGACACCGACAAAACCCGATCAATCACCGACTCCACCGAAGCCGCAAGTCCTCAGTCACAACCTGAGGTGAAAACCTGCTCGATAAAGCCATTAAAAGTGATAAAAAAAAGTACTCACCAGATAATTCCGAAACGCACCTCACCACATCAGCAGACTCTCCCCCAACTGAAAAATCTACGCAGTCTGAAGTCTTCATCCAGGCTGTGGCTCCAGCAAGCCAAAACAGCCAGGCGTACGTCAAAACCACATTCAGAGCGTCAACTTCCGAGATGCCGAATTAGCCAGCAGGGAAGGGAAGGCACTGCATGGGGATCCTATTGGTAGGAATTCTG